AGGAGTTTTCCATTTCTTTTTAAATTTCCTGTCGGGTTTAATATCACTTATCTCTTCATTGCTATCTAAAGACAACAGTCTAAAGTACCAGTACCTCCTACATTCCCTAGTTCTTTCTCTAATGCGCAGATCGGCTATGAAGATCTTTGGAACATAGCTTCATAATGCTATTCAGAGGGCAGTTTAGGCTGCAGAATGCGTATCCTATTACAAGATCGTTTGGCTGTTTTACCGTTTTGCTAGCTCCTGTGTGCAGTTGACTCATCAGCTCCTATCTCTGGGACTGCACCGAGTTTAAACTGATGCCGCTGCTTGGTCAGTTTCCTTTCATAAAAGTCTCATAAGGGAACTGGCTGATGATGCTTTGGTTCCCCCATCTGTGAGTGTTTTCTCGCCCCTTCTCAGTACAGACTCTTTCCTCTTCATCCGTGTCTCTGAAAGGCTGGCTCCAAAGATGTCTACTGGGTCAAGAACGAGGGCTGTGTTAGCCCTCAGATCCTTGACAGCAAACTTGCTGTTTTTAACTTCAGCAGGCTGTACCCAGAGAGGACGTTGTTATTTCAAGAATTGGGTTCTTGTTTCTCAATTCTCGAATGTTGTCTTGATGATAAATAGCTGAAGTTAAAAATAAATCATAATAATAATACGTAGGCATTTTCAATGTGTGTTGATTCTGTACATTTGCATTGGTGTTATTCAAATAAATCACAGCGCAGGAAACATTTTCATTATAAGATCAGTAAATGATCCCCACATCCCACACCTATACACTTGTGCCCAGTTTTTTGTAACAAGGATTGCCCCCCCACACACACACACACACATACACATGTACACTGCCATTGAGTGGACTCGTAGCAACCTTAGATAGGGTTTCTGAGACTAAGCCTTTACAGGAGTAGACAGCCTCCTTTTCATTCTCTGGAATGGTTGGTGGGTTAGACTCTTTGACTTTTCAGTTATCAGTCTAAAGTTTAGTTGACAATGCCACCAGGGCTCCTTATAACAAGACACAGGTGCAGACTAAAGCTCAGGGAAATGAAGGCTTATTGGTGTGGGGAGTTTAAAGTTTAATTTTATATTTCTAGACAAGTTTGGGAATTGGTTATTTAGAA